CCAAACTCCATTTTGTTGAGGTCTGCAAGAAAAATCTTCATGATCTCAGCATCAATGGCCAATGCTGGGAATCAATCACTTTGGACTGCTGTGACTGAAAAGCCACCATGAGGCAGGGCCTGCATTGCTTCAAGCTGGAAAGAGTCAATGATGGGCTAGGAAAGAAGTGTGAGAGGCAGGCAAGACAAAACGGTACTCAGCATACCAGTGCAAGCTCAACCAAGTTTATATGTGCAACTTGCCAGAGGGTCCACCTGTCACACATTGGACTCCCCAACCACTCAAGGAGCTGTATTGGTACCTGGTAACCTAATACAGGTGCAATCTCCAGGATCTCCTGAGATGAATGGCTTCCAATGATGAACACATCTTTGTATCAGCTAAAGACAAGTTCAAGAACAAAGTGACTGGCATCTGGGCTGAATTAACACATTACAAGTTATTTTATTTAGGGAAGGAGTTTGTTAACACTGCCTGTTAGTTAAGTTCCAGATAAAAATATAAGGCTATCTTTAAGGACTACAGGTGTCCAAATGCTATTGATTCTGGTAATGTGATGTAGTGGATTACTGCTTTAACAAATGCAAGAATCCATACCTAAATAAAACTCTTAATTACCCTGGTAGAAGATTAAGTAAGATAGTGCTTACAAAGTTCCAGTGACAGTGTATAAAAGAGTTTGGTAACGTGTTGAATACCAGGTGTATCAAGCTTACCCAGCCCTGTGGGCTGGATGGAGGTCATTGAGCCAGTTTATGAGATGGATCAGGCCATGCCAGAGCTAGCACACAGGGCTGGCCAACACAGGCACCCTGGACTAACTGAACTGACACCCCCCTTCTTCCTTCCCTTCCTTTATAAAGAATAAATTTAGTTGGGCTTCTAAATAGGCCACGTAATTATAAGTGTGTTGAACACTTACTTTTTTTTGCAGTCAAAGGACTTGCTGAGGCTGAGCTGTTTTGAAAACAAAAAACAGGCCCCTTCTTTACTGAAGTATTTAACTTTCTATTAGGAACCCTTCACCCTAAAAACATTTGGCCTCAACACCTCATTCAGGTACAATCTGCAACCAACTAAACATATTGGACCAGTTGCTCAAATACGGACCTCTAATTCTCCACCTTTGAATTGCAGGTGACAGTAACTACAGAATAATTTAGGCCATTAGATGTGTAAGCACCTGCATGCACCCATTGGTTCTCTATATCCAAGAGCAGTAACATAACAAGGGGTGGGTGAGCAGGGCATGAGACCTGGGCACTGACTTAGAGAGGGCACCAGAATGGTGGTCCCACAGGGAGTCTGTGCTGAGGCAACAGCTGCAGCCCTGTGCCACTCCTCTAGCAGCAATAGTTGGGACAGGCAGGTCATGCCATGGCAGCAGCAGCAAGGGACTCTGAGTCCCTAGGGTAGATAAAGCTTCCCCCTTCTCCATGCTCCAGCAGAGTTTTTTCTAAGAAACAAATCTTGGCAGTTACACCTCTGTTCAAGAGACCCTACTTGCTCCAGGAAATAACTTCCCTATGCAATTATTTTTGCCCAAAGATAGTAGAAACCAAAATAAAAACTTGACTTAATGCCAGGTTGAAAATCTAAGCAGAACTAAGAACATGCCACATCTAGCAAATGTTCTAAAGCTTTGCACAAGCCGGCTCTGATAAGTATATTTTACAAACAGGAAACAGAAATTAATCAAAGCAGCCTACTGGGAACAGAGGAGCACAAAGAATCCTGATCCAATCGGCTTTTTTAAAGTCACAACTAATGCTGGTATGTAAAAAATGTAAGATTGTGTTAGGCAATGAAACAGTTAAGTGAGTTGTATAGTTATGGGAATGGTAGCTAGGGAGCTTTAACTAGAGTTTGCTTGACATCATTTTGAAGCATGGTGATGCTAAATACACAAGATGTGGAGGCTGTTGGAGCATGCTAATTAACACACTCCAACAGACTTGATGAAGCAGAATGGGGTCAGAGGAAGGGCGAGCTGAAGTGCTCTGGGTCAAGATTCAGGGGGGGCAGGGGGAGAGGGATTTGACAGTGGGGGTCTATTACAGACCCCCCAACCAAGAGGAGGAGCTGGACAGGGAATTTTCAGGTCAGCTTGCAGAGGCACTAAAATCAAGGGATGTAGTGGTCATGGGCGATTTTAATTACCCAGACATCTGCTGGGAGGAGCAGTCAGCCGGGACGGACCGCTCCA